GACTATCATGACCACAGCATTTTGAATGTAATTGCAAACATTTATGGGGAGTCATTTCTCATTAATGTTGTTACCTTGGGAGAATGCAATCATCAAACTGTAAGTCAGGCATGAATCCAAGCTGTAACTCGTGTGGATATTGCATTTGAGGATATTATTGCCTTTGTAACAGATTTTGCAGCCTATTGCAAAAAAAGCTCATAAGGAAGTGTTGTCAAATGTCTTTAACAGTTGCCATGTGTTGTGCTTAACAATCTTGTTAGTGAAATATTTTCACACTGGTCAGTATTTGATAATGTTACTCAGGTCACTACTTTCATCCTTTGTACAGTTTTATGATGGATTCTTTAAGCAAGAAAAGAGCCATGGCTTTGTAGTAGATAGGATTCTAGAATTAGTAGATGATTGTCAACTACATCATGCCTCACACCATAATTTCACCTAAATCTGCATTTTATAAATGATAACTGTACTCATTTAATAACAGCTTTGACAAACTTAGAAGAAACTAAGTCTCCACTTGCATGTATTGTATATGACATGATGAAGGATGTAAAATAGTATTTGCATACTGGTACATCAAAATCAACATTTGGCCTAGAAACTGATTGTCTTCTGTCTGAACAAGAAAACACAGAGAGGGAGAGATTTATCTCAAATTTCCAAGATTTTTTTCAGCGCATCTTTTTCAAAACTGAAAAGATACCTGGATACCCACCCTGTGTATAACTTTTACAAGGCAGTTTGATCCTAGACAGCTACCCTGTATAGACCATAATTTAGACAGTTTTGCAGCCATCAAGGACTTGCAATGTCCTTCTACTGATCTTGAATTTCAAATGTATGTGAATTACCAAGATGATTTACCAAATCCTTTTAATATCCCATCATTTTGGAATGCAAATAACAGCAGATTTCCTCTTCTGGAACCGATTGCCAATAAGGTCATATGGATGCCTGTTACCAGCATAGATGCTGAATGTTCATTTTCTCAGTATAAACATTTACTCAAACATGAAAGTCTTAGCTCCGAGAACACCAAGCAACTCACACTGTATTACAATGGAGATTTAGAGAAGAGATTTGAAGATTAAATATTTCCCAAATTAAGAAATTAATTTTAAATTTGAGCAGCATTTCAACTTGGGATAAGTTGTTTTATTTAAATTTTGAATTAATATGTTTAATTTGTTTTTTTTGATTTTTTGCTACAAAGATTCAGTTATTATGGTTTAATTACTGTTTTTTTTTTTTTAAATTTAAAAATGTAACTTTATTCAGATATTTATTATTGAGATTCAGGTTATTTGCAGTTGATACTTTAAATGCGATTTTTATATTATGAATCAATAAATATACTTTTACTTAAGAAAAAAAAAAAAATTAATGTATTCTTAACGATAGCTCTGGTTAAAAGTTCTACCTCAAAGATGATTATGCACAGTAACATTCTGTTGTTTTATTGTCTAGTCATGTATTTTTATATATTTATTTTAACATTAAAAAAAAATAAAAGATTTGTAGATTTTTGATATTTCTTTAATTGCAATAAAACTTTGAATTATGTTTATGTTTTAATAATTATAGAATATTTTATTGCAATTTTCCAAATATGAAAAAAAAAAAAAAAAAAAAAAAAAAAAAAATGAAATTCCCCAAAAGTAAAAGACAGGAAAAGAAAAAACAGAATTTACCAAAAGTGGAAACGGAATCAAGGAAAATTTGAAAAAAAAATTGGGGGCCCTACTCCCAGTTGTCAACATAGCTCTGTGCAAGCTGGTGGTGTGATGAATCTGTATTGGTGTGGGATATATTTGTGTCATGAACACTGGTCAGTCTAAACACATGTTCACCATCAGCAATTCAACAAAACAACTCTTTTCACTATAATATCAATACCTTTTGTAATATATGTATCTCATGTTGGAAAATTGTGAAATCACATAAAATTTTCAACTTGTCAAAACTGGGACAGTAATAACTAGACTTAGAAATTTGTTTCAGTTTTAAGTTGATAGAAAAGATTTTCTGGACATTGTGAATGGTTCTCCTGCACTTCCTCTCCTAATGGGGATTTGCCGACTAAATTTCCTTATAAGTCTCTAATACGGCTATTACCAGAAACTGACATTACAACAAAGTCCCATCTGAAGTCAAATGCTGATTCCACTCCTGCAATATCAATAACTTGACCAATGTAAAAGTTGGAATCATAATATACTGCAACACATTGGCCTTGGTGCTCACAGCTGAAGGTCACCTGAGGTGGGTATTGTTCTTCACAACTGCTAGAGTTGTTTAAACACTTAGAATAACAGTGAATTTTCTTCTTTCCTTTGTCTTAAAGGTGGAAATGAATTATCTGATTTTCCTGTTAAGTAGTTGCAAAGAGCAGCTTTCAACAGAGATTTACTTCCACTGGTTTTGATCTTGATACCTAAAAGAACCTTCAAACATCTATGTTAATCTTTCAGGTCTTCCAAGCCACTTCACAGGAGCCACCATGCTTGACAACCGAGCTAATGATTGTTTCTCAGCAGCAGCTTGACACTTCCCCTTCTCATTTTTAGCAATCCTTTCCTGTACATGTAGTTTCAGAAGTACATCTTGTCTTGGTTGTAAATCTTCCACACATGACTTCTTGAAATGTCAAAAACATATTGCAACTCAGTTGCCGATTTTGCTCCCAGCCAAGCCGTAGCCTGGTTGTCCTTTAGCATGTTTGATGTTGATTAGTGGTGAAGTGACGTACATCAGGTTTTTATTTTTTTGTCAGTTCCATAACTAAAAATTTCCCCAGGTGGTAAGAGAAACAAATTATTCAGGAAAAAAAAAAAAAAAATTGTTCTTAAAATAACGAAAAACTTATTTGTTAATTACTGAAGTACTGGTTATTCTTACATACAAGAACCCAAATAAATGCAGGAAAACTGAGACACACACAAAAACAAAAACACTCTTACTGCCGAATAGGAAAGCAGTGTTTCCAAAACACAAAAACTGACTGAACGGGAGATAACTAAATTAGATCAGAAACTATGCAAGCACCAATCCTAAAAAAAAAAAAAAAAAAAAAAAAAAAAAAAAAAACTTAAGAGGAAAGACCAAATGATTTTTGGGTTATTAAATATATATATATATATATATATATATATATATATATATATATATTTTTTTTTTTTTGTGCTTTTCAGAATGTTCGAAATTTTGGTTAAAAATCTTGCTTTTCTTGTGTCCTTGGGGGCTGAAAAACACACATTCATAAATTCTTGCAAAAATCAAATAATTGTCAAATTTTAATGAAATTTACAAGACTTATTCACAAATGAATGAAATTTTATAATTTTTATGAAAATCATGCTCAAAGTAAAAAACATTCCCTCCCAATTGATTTATGAAATTTAGAGAAATTAATTTTTGTACCGCTTATTTATATGCAGACCTTGGAGAATTTTAATCAATTTTTTTTTTTTTGTAAAGCTGGAATCAGAAAATAAAAAATACAAAATTATGACATTAACGAGAAAAGCTTTTAATAAGTTATTTAAAATAAATAAAAAAAAAAAAAAAACAATACTAGTAAAAATTCATTATTCATCGGGAAAACAGTTTAAGACAATAAAATTAAAGACAAGTAACTAAAAAAATACAATGAAACATTACGAAGAATATTTTCCTGAATTTTAAAGATTACTGGGTAGTTAAAAAAAATTATATAAAAAAGAATTTTAAATTTCTTTATTTTTGCATGGAATGACGGGAGAAGAGGAAAAAAGTTAGAGGTTTTACTTTTAAAAATACCTAAAAGAATTATTTATAAACAATTTTTTATTTAAGCCATATCTTTCAAACAGAACTGAAATTTTAAAATACATTTTTGAAGTTATTTAAAATGAGTTTTTCCGGTTTTTGGGGTTTTTTTTTTAAATAGAGAGTTCATGATGGTATGAAACTTCCACACCAAAGTTTTGCAAATTTTCTCTTCAAAAGCAATGAACATTTTTAATGTCGGCAAAGAAAATCATTTATTTTAAAAGTTTGAATCAATGTCAAGAATATATCGATCGCCTTTGTCAATTACTCAATGAGTCAATGACCCATGTGTACTGTAAAAATTGGCGCGCCAAATGTAGCACAATTTAAAATTATACGCAATGTGGCCGATATTATTATCCTAAATACTTTTTGAAATAATTGTTTCAAAAGAATAGTAGAGTGGACGGTAACCTTTAATGAGGTGCATAAAAAATGGGGGGGGGCGAATGCAGACACGTGCGTAAACATTAGTGGAGTGGCCATCAAAATTCTTCCTATTTAAAGAAAAGAAACATTGTGCTTCCCGGAATAGCATGATCAGTTTGTCTAAAGGACGAAGAACACGAAGGTATGTATGTAATTTCAACTATATTTCAAAATTCAACAATACCCCAAACTTGCAAAGAATTTTCACAGAGAAAAAGCATCTCCCCAGTAAACAAGTTACAAAAAACTTAATTTTTTTTTTTTTTTTTTTTAATTTATGGGAAAATAGAGTTTGGTGTACCTTGGGAAAACAGTCTTTTGTTAGTCTCACAAGATAATAACTGAAGAAATGGAAAAATCATTTTAAAGCTCTTTCTAGGCCTAAACTACATTATGGACAATTTACGTTTTTACGAACACACAGGACTGGTTTTGCGCAGATTTAAGCCCGCGACAGACAAGACAAAAGAAACGTTAAAAATTAGTTCGTTTCACGAAGAAAATTATGCTATTGCTATAATTCGAAATTATACTTTACTTTTGTATAAATATTTCATGTCAATGAAAGAAAAAAAATAGCAATTTGCATTTATGTTAAAAATTACTTGTATAATTTCTTAACTGTTCGGGAAGGAACATAACGCCGGTTACAGCGTTGTTTATAAACCGCGTCGTCATGTGCTCTCACTATAACAAAAATCAGTTTATGAAAAAATAACTGCATTTAAAAATATTAAACATTAAAAGAATATACTTACTTTTTTAACTCTGGTGGATGTGCCTTACTCATTGTGGATCTAAATAAGATAAAAAATAAGTTCCTTCTACTCCAGTTCAGAATGCGCACACCAATATGGCGACGACTTCCGGTTTTTCTCTAATACAAAAACAGGAAGTAATGACTGCTGATTTTATTAGTTTTTGAACTTACTACTCATGATCCACAAATCAAGCGATGAGACATTCTTTCATTTTATTTTTATTGTTGATCTGAATTTGGGTAATTTGCTTTTTAAGTCCTGTACTAAATATGTAATAAAAATTTGTTGAAAATAAAAAAAAAACACTTAAAATAAAAAATATAGGGTTTTAAAATAAAAATGATGTCACTCAATCAATAACTATATAATAATTTGAATTAATTCATGAAACTGTTTGCTAAATTGTTTGAATAAAAATAAAATGTTTGCAGGAAATGAGATTTTCAAGTGTTATGATGGCTTATTTAATAAATTTACTACAATTCCCAAATACTCACAAATTTACTTAAATGTTATTAAAAACGGTAACCCCAATTCTTGGCAATCATATTTTTGGTAGAATAATAGGTATGCATATTTTACTTGAAGCCCATTGTAACTATTGTAGTGATGTTTGCCACGCCTACATTTTTCTCAACTGTGATTGCTCAAATAATATATACTAAATATCACAGGACAATTTACTGATCGCATTCACCACACTGAATTTTTCCTACCGTTAACTCACAAACATGCTTTTGTTATAAAATCACCGATTGGTTAATTTTTCATCCAATCAGATATTTTTCGTGTTCTTTCAAAATTTATCCTGCGCTCATGCTTGGAGCCTACCGATAGTAATATAAGTTCGGATTCATTCCCAAATTAAACAGTAGAGTTGAAGACAGTAGAACTCACACACGTCTACACAGATTATTCATTCTACTCACTCCGCACGCACACACACAGACACAGAACTTGAATATCATTCACCATCAGTTCTTTGTAAACAAGCCAAGTTACAACAACTCTGTTAGTTACAAAACACACAACTGTATGATCTTCTGAATACACATTCTATTTTAACACAGAACTCTGAACATTATATTCAGAAAACTTGCTTATTTAAATATCACCATATTCAACTAACAGCTAAAGGGAAAATACTTTTTTCTCCTTATTCACACATTACAAAAATTACCTGTATTTGTTGTTGATTTTAATATATATATTTTATTGTTGAAACACAAATCAGTTTTCCATTGTTTTTCCTTGATTTTAAAATAAATGTTAAATGCTCTTCAACACGCAGCCACAAAACAAAACAAAACACCATTTACATTGGTAACCCCAACACTTAGGAAAGCAGCATTTACACTATGAATACCTACTTCTAGCTTATGATTAAAAGGAATCTTCAATTTTTTTCCATAATGATCTGATCTATTACTTTAACTATAAAATTAAAGTTCAAATGTGATAGAGAAAAGATCATAAGAAATATATTTTATTGATTTAAAAATTCTATTACCATTGTGGAATTTCCAGGTTTAGAAAACCTGACTCAGTTTCTATTGAAGGAATTTTGCTGACATTACATTTTTTGGGGGTCTAGCAACAACGGTTGCTTTGACCCTTCAACATTTTTGACAGCATTGTAGTGAGTGGAAAATAACTTCCTTTAACCATTCCCTTCAAATTCGGAGGCCTGAGGAAAAAAAAGGAAAGAAATTCCCAAGCCTATATAAAATTTTCTTTGGACCAATGAAAACCCTGAAAGAATTTTCTCTCAACAATCCAAAAAGGCTAATTATTTCAAACTATCTTTCTTCATCTACTTTTGAACATATGCAACCATATATCATTTCTGTGAGCAACGAACTCTCTTACATTTGTTTTAAACATTTTTTAATATTATTTTATGTCAGATCATTTAATCTAACTTATTACCAGTGATTCTAAGCCTCAAGGCCTAAGAAACCCTTCATACAAATGCAACAATTATGAGAAAGCCCCTTTCAAAATTAAGTATTGTATTGTTATATTATATTGGCACTCATACAGTTTTTAAAAACAACTGGAAGAAAAAGCTTAACCAGCATTGTTGTAAGACTGGTTCAGGATATAAAGAGACCTCAAAAGCAATCAATAGCCAAAACTTGTCTCTAGACCAGGAGAGACTCCCCAAGGGATAGTGCCCTTACAGAAAGATCTGTGGGGGCAAAAGTCGACAAGCAGACTTCTAAAAGGGGGCCCCCAAAATACATGGAGTATATAAAGGCAGATGAAATCTTTGTTTACCTGGGCAGACTAGAAGCAATAGAGTCAAGGACAATTTCTCTTGTGGCAATGGACACCAGGTGTTGGAAAGCCAGCCAACTCTACACAAAAACAGCAAAAGGAGGTGCTGTCCACCCTAAAAGTGGACATTAAATATATCCACAGGCATAGCTATGTGACATGGAACCTACTCTTAGGCACCACTGAGGAATGTGTAAGGTTTACACACAGTTCTTACACATTAAGAGGTATAAGATTTATACCTGAATATTGGGGATGGCGGTGGACAAAAATTAACATTTACAGTGTCCCTGCATAGATTGAAGAAAAGCAGCTAGCAGCCTTCCTCTTGAAGTATGGGCAGCTGGAGGAGATGACCACAATTGCCAGCAACAGATGTAAGACCAGGAATTACATCACAATTCTTCCTAACAAGAGTATTTTTGCTATACTTATTATGGGGAGACCCGGAGGCCACTCCTGTTGGATCTGCCAGCAAACTAGACATCTGGTGGCAGCATGCCCAAGCTTGACAACCAGGCCCAGAGTACCTGTAAAGTGGACAGCTTCAGAACTGCAGACCCCAGTGAATGACACTGCTAAACAAGAAGTGTGGACTGAGGTCATCCACAAAGGAAAGGCTAAACCAGCTCCTGTTCCAACTCCAGTGTCTGAAATAGGAAAGCTGACTGAAGAAAAGAAAAACCAATACAACAACCCAGGAAACCAGTTGAAGGGGAGCTATAGTCATTGACTGGACCTCTGTGAATGCCACCCAAAAAGGAAAAGAGAGGAAATGAGACACAAGGATGAAAACAAAAGTGGAATTGATAGCACATTTCCGAAACATCCAGAGAAGCAAAAGAAAACTGCCTTTTTGCAAAAGAAACAAGAGGCAAAGGAGAGTGGAGAAAAGTCCCCTAATGTATCATGCACTGTCAAGGAAGTGGGTGTGGTGGAGGGGCACATCCTGGAGAAGAACCGTACAGTACACCTGATGTCAACTCTTTGCTCCTTTTATCAATTCCAAAGTGTAGGAGGGAAGGATGTGAAGAATCCTGCCAACTTCCCTCAGTGTCAGATATTAATGACATTCCTGAAGAACCTCTCTGGAAGTTCAAAGGTATGGGGATGCTTGCTGCAGCAAGAGACGCTGTTCCAAACCGGCAGCTGATGGACACTGAGAGCCCCCATGTGAAAGCACTAGCATCACAATGCATGGGTATAACACCAGTTCTTGTGCACCCATCCCTTTACTGAAATCATCAGCAGCTCCAGCTTGCTAGCCATCATTATCTCCAGCTTGCTTTCAGCTATTGCTTCAGCCATCTCTAGATCCTGCCACTCCAGCCATCCTTTCTAACAATATTCCATAAACTGTCCTTTTCAGGAGAACACTCTCTAGTGACCCCAAAACTCTTTCTCAGGTCAATGCTATTTCTCACTCTCTACATGTGCTTGCCTAGTTCATTATTTTTGTTTATGTATTTTTCTTTAACAAAAATAAATTTGGCAATATTTATTTTCACTCAAGTCTTTGTTTTGTTTGTTGTTGTTTGCCAATATATCAACCGCAATAAATAGTGACTATGATGCGATATGACACAGCAATAAGTGATTACTTGACATAAAACAAAAAAACACTGCATCTACTATGGTTCCAAATGAAGCTACAACCCAGATGTCGGTCAATACAGCAACTGATTTCTTTAACCTGAAGTGATATTCACCTTCCAGAGTCAACAAAGTAGTGGATATAGTTGAAAATCTCCTGGAATCAGAGCCATACACACACTTGAAAAGTGCAATTATCAAAAGGACTGGATTCTCTGACAAAGAATTATTCTGCAAACTTTTCACCCACACCAGTGGAGGTGACAGGTCCCTGTCCCAGCTACTGAAAATCCACTTAGGCCAACACACCATGGCAGAACCCATCTTCCATCTTCTATGGATAGACAGATATTTGCACCAATGGTTGAAGGACCTCCCCTCCCCCTGGACAAATTGGCTGATGTCAGTGACTGGATATTTGCCACATGTAATCAGGAAGTTAACTCACTGCATGAAGCCCGCAAACCTGTCAACACAGAAACACAGCACATTGGAAAGGTGTTAGCAGACCTGCAGAAGCAAATGCAAGAGATGCAACTTACCCAGAGCAGATCAAGAATCGACAGCAGATTGCACAAACACAGCCACAATCAGGAAAGACAGAACAACCCAGATATTTGCTGGTTCCATCAAACCTGCTGAGACAAAGCAAGGAACTGCAAAAAGTCTTGCAAATATCAGACGACCCAGGGAAACTGAAAGACTGGAGGGTAGCAGTGGTGGACCAAGCTGGTGGAAAAATACAATGCTGCTTGTTCTATGTATGTCACAAAAACAATGAACTAAAGTTTCTCATGGACACAGGAGCAGCAACCAGTGTGCTACCCCACTACAGATTGTCATGCCCTCAAACCTGTTTAAGCTTCAAGCAGCTAACGGCCACCCCATAGAGACTTATAGTAAAAAGACTCTCACCTTAAACATTGGTATGCAACATGATTTTTACATAGTTATTTACTCAAGCCAATGTTAGGACACCTGTATTTGGAGCAGATTTCTTGGCACATTTTAATCTGTAGGTGCACATGAATACAAGAACTCTGTCAGACAATACAACAAGCATCTGTGTCATTGGTACCTGCACATGTTATAACATGACAGGAATCAGTGTCGCAACTTGCCACAATAGCAAGTTCGTGGATATATTGGATCAGTACACAGAAATCATGCAGCCATTTAAGAATACTGATTCAGAAAAGCATCAAAACCAGCACCATATCATAATTGGACAGTCTGCAAGTTCTCACCCATGAGGATTGTCAGCACACAAATATGACTCTACAAAGAAACAGTTTCAGAAAATGTTGAATGATATCATCATCTGTCCATTGGACAGCCCATATGCTTCACCACTACACCTGGTCCCGAACCCTGAAAGTACAGATTTCCAAGTATGCATTGATTCCAGAAAACTTAATTCCTCCACCATCCCTGATCACTACCCAGTTAGTTTCTCACATCCATGACTTTGCATCAAGACTACAGAGTACCCACATATTCTTTAAGATCGACCTAACTAAGTCATATCACCAAATCCCTGTGCCTACAGATATTTCCAAAACAGTGGTTACTACACCATTTGGCCTATACAAATTCATAAAAATGCCATTCGACCTGAGGAACGATGCTCAGACATCTCAATGTCTAATCGACAAAGTTTTACGCGGTCTTCCCTCCACATACGTTATATTGACAATATCCTGATAGATAACAATAACATCAATACACATAAACAGCATTTCCATGAAATGTTCCAAAGATTGTCTTATTTTGGTCTTCAGATCAATTTACACAAATGCGTCTCTGGCTCACCAAGCATCAACTTCCTTGGACACAAAATTGACACTGATGGTATCTTGTTTCTACCAGAGAAGATTAAAACCATCCAGGACATTCCTACACCAGCTTCAATCAGACAACTATGATGTTTCATTGGAATGATCAATTTCTACTGAAGATTTGTACAGAATTATTCAGAAATACTTCTCCACTTAACTAACCTTCAGAAGAACAAAAACATCACTTTGGAGGGCAATACCATGCATGCATTCAACACTGCAAAAACCGCACTTACTGACTAGACACATCTGACACAGGGCTAGGCACAGTCATTGAGCAAGAACTAAAGTCCCAGTGTAAACCAATCATCTTCTTCTCAGCTAAACTCTCATCAACCCAAAGCAGACATAGTACCTTCTCCAGAAAATTACTGGCTATCTACTTAGCCATCAAAAATTTCCACCAGCTACTTGAGGGAAGTGATTACACTATCTATACTGTCCACAAACCACTAACAACAGCTATGAAGACTAACTCAAACAAATACACATCTTGAGAAATTAGACATTTAGATTACATCTCACAATTCTCCCTAAACATGTGCCCCATAAAATGTAAAGATAACACAGTAGAAGATACACTCTCAAGCGTGGACATTAATACATTTGCTGATGGCATACTGAGTCACAATTGATGAACAAAAGCTGATGAACAAAAGTTAGACTCAACATTACAAGAAGTACACACAAGCTCTTCACTGCAATGCCAGCAATTCCCAGCAACAAGAGCTTCTACTGTGATATCACACTAAACGCCCACAGACGTTATATTTCTCCCACACTAAGGAACATTTACATTGTTTGTTACACCCCAGCAAACAACACATGGTCAAGCTCATCAGGAAGTGCTTTGTCTGGCCCAAAATGATCACCGACATCCGTGGGTGGGTTACCATGTGTCTGGAATGACAAAAGTGTAAAGTATATTGCCACACAAAATCCCTTATTGGCACCTTCACTAACCCTGATGCCCGCTTCACAAACATACACATTGATATTGTTGAAGCTTTACCAATGTGTTAGGGTTACCAATACCTACTGACCATCATTGATTGATTTTTTCCGATGTCCAACTGCCTTATCAATCAAAGGCATTAAAACTAACACAGTCTTCAAAGCGATTCCAAAAGACTGGATTTCAACTTTTGAAACACCACAAGTAATTATGATTGCGAGTGGAGCAGTCTGCTTGAAAGATTTCACAGATCCCTAAAAGCTTCCCTGACTATGAGATCTAACAACAACTTACTGGAATGAAGACATACCAATAATCCTACTCTCTTAAGGAAGATTTAGGTTGCACATCAGCCAAATTTGTTTTTGATGCACCCCTATCCTTACCAGGACAATATTTTTGTGACATATCAGTGACTATACTCCACATTAAATAACTGACCTTGTGTCACATCCTGCTCCAGTGGTGGGGGGTGAAGATACCCAGGTGTTCTGCAATCAGTGACTATGATCATATTGTAGTATCTGTTCCGCTGCCATGTCCAGCTAAGACAAGCTTTGTGTGTGGTGGGGGTCATGTGTAAATACCCAAGTGTTCCGCAGTCAAATGCTATGATCATATTGTAGTATCTGTTCTGCTGCCATGTTCAGATAAGACAAACTTTGTGCCCAATCCTGTGCAAGAAGGGGCTGGATAAAAATTGACCGATATTCTGACCCAAGTATATGCACTCAAGTATCCCACGTTAAATAACTGACCTTGTGTTGCATCCCGCTCCAGTTCTCATAGTTCTGAAGAATAAAAACCTGGAAAGCCCTTAGTAAATAAATTATTAAATAGGATTGGCTCTATTTATAAGGATAAAGTGTTGTAATAATCCTATAATGGATACCAAGCCATACTTGCATACAAGGAAATGGAAAAGCTGACAAAATGGCAAAGGAATCACTGGACATAGCCCTCTCAAATGTAAAGATGCCACACACTGACTTCCAACTCACCATAAACAGGACCATTAAAGAAAAATGGCAGCAATTATGGAACAACTGTGTAAACAATAAACTTCTCAACATCCAACCAATTATCAGTGAAAGACAGTCAAGTTACAGAAAGAAAAGAGCAAGTGGTTCTAGCCAACTCTGTATAGGACACACACCACTAACATCTACTAAAAAATGAGAAACTGCCAATGTGTGTCCCATGCCAAGAATTATAAACCATTAAACACATTGTACTAAATTATTGTAACTTGTAGCAAACTCTACAAATCGGATAACTTAAAGGATCTATTTGAAAATGCCAATCCAAATAACATAAATTTCATTAAAGAAATTAGGCTCTCCAGGAAAATATAAAAAAAAACTGTTTACCAAATCTGCTTACCTACATTGTTTTGTAACCAATTTTTGAAGGAAAAATTATTAGCAACAATACATTTGACTCTCAACAAAATTCCCTTTTACAAAATATGTCAATGAAACCTGATCGACAAAATGATTCCTTACAAAGAATACATACTCTATTCATACAAACCTATCTGAAAATTCTTGTCAGCATTAAATAACCCTTTGAGATTGATATGACGTTAAACTAAATAAACCCAAACTTTTCTATCTTTTGAACTTTTTTGACATTTACCCTTTTTATGTAAGTTAATAATACATAGTTTTGGAAACTTAACTGTTTTTTTTACATCCATCTGGTACTATTGTTCTTCTTTGAATATGTACTACTACCTGAGTTTGTCTATATTTCTGAGATGAGGTATTATGTACAGTATTTACATTAGTCGGACTATTGTCCTCATCTTTGT